GTGAATCATAACCCTCTTTCTAGACGTTTTGATGGAAACGCAAAACTGTTCTATGGTGGAAAACTAAATTTTGTCATTTTGATATTTTAATCCAAAAGTAAACACCCAAATCTCCATTTTAGAGCCTCTTAGGAAAGATTTGATGCAGAAATAAATGCATCATACCTCTAGTCCTAGTTCCTGCATTCTCTGGGTTTGGGAGTTTATTACCCTCCTGACTTTGACTTCCTGCCTGTGTGGGATAACAGGGCTATTGATTCATATCTGCTCTCTCCAGGTTTTTCTTACCAACTCAACTTACATGACTCTGTCTCCCTGTGTCTTGGTCTATTTGTCACCTTCACAATTTGCTTTCTCTGTTCAGTTGCTGGACATGACAATGCCTCACACTCCCAGCCTTCATTATTCATGTTAGTAACATTTACATTTGGGTCTCTATTTTAAACACTTGAAAGCAAAAGACAACAAGAGGCAAAGAGAGAGGGGAAAATAGATATCTAGTTCAAAGGATATCAGCCTATACTTTTTTCATAATGAGAATGCAATAAAAATCTTAAATAATGCATAGATGTTCAAACAATTTGCTAGCTAATTTCTCTTTTCAAAAAATGAGGAATGTTGCTAGCTCATCTCAGATACCCAGGGAAAGTGTTGACAAATCCTTTCTGCTTACCGTGTAATTTTAAGTATGTCTCTGTTTCCACATAACAATGGTGTGACAGTGAGTTGTGGTTGTCAATTTGATTGGACTAAAGAACATCTGGAAACATGATAAGGCATTTTTCTAGGTTGGTTTGTGGCTGTTTCCAGAAAAGGTTAATTTTTGGGTGTGAGACTTGATGTGGAACATTCCCCTTGCATGTGGATGAGCACAATCTTCTCTAGAAGGGGCCCAGAACGAATAAATACAATAGGTGAATGATTCCCTTTTGAGAGACAACAGACTTCTTCTGTTGCTTTGGATTTCAAAACTCAGGGATTTTTAGTCTTCAGACTCCAGTATTTACAACAGTGGCCTATTGGGTTCTCAGGATTACAGCTTTGGATTGCAAATTAGACCACCAGCTCCCGTGCCTCTGTTCAGAAAAAATTCAACTATATTGGTTAAGTTATTGAAGTTCTGTTGGTAAAGGCACTACCCAGGGCTCTCTCACGGCCTCCTCATTGTGGCATCTCTATGATCCAGCAAGAAAAAATTAAACCAAAGTACCATAGAGGGGGCTTTAGACTTCTCTAGGGCTAAACCTGATGTCCACTGATTACCCAGTGACTTTGAACTGCTAATATTTTAATATTATGAAATCTTCCTGCCAGCATAAGATGTCAATTAACAAACCCAAGGCTGTCCACTGGTACATTTCTCCAGAGATCATCCTACAAAATAAAGTATACTTTTAATTTGCCTAGTAAGCAGGCAATGCTTCACTAAGAGAGAAGTGATTTGCTGTAATCTGGAAGAAGAAGCCACAGAGTCTTATGCAGAAAGCACAGCGTTAAGGTTAACACAGACTGTCTGGAGAAGAGCCTATGGTTCCTCTCTCTATTCTTTTTTTTTTTTTTTTGGAGAGGTTTTTGCTATAGGGCACATGTGCTCGCCAGACAGGGAGAGACAGAGAGAAAGAAAGAGAAAAATCACCCCCCAGGGGGGTTGGCCACACCACAATCCCTTCTCCTCCATTCTCCTCTGGGGATCTTGGGCATGCACGCACACACACCCAGCGTGAGTTTTTAAGCCACTGGGTCCGGGACACAAACCACAGTCGACTACGTGGGAGTCCAGTGACATAGCCATTACACTAACTGCTGGTCCCCTCTCTATTCTTCATCATTACAGAAGTAATTCTTTTTTGTATTTTTTTAAAGAATTACTTACTTTTGCTTAGTATTTTTTTAAATTTGTTACAGGGCACACATGAGAGAGAGAGGAGAAAGAGAGAGAGAAAAAGAGAGAGAGAATGTGAAAGCAAGCCTCCAGTTCTAGGACTTGAACTGTGGTAGGCCATGTGGGAGTCCAGCACCTTAACCAGCATGCCACCTGCTGGCTCCAGAAATAGTTCTAATCTGCATCTAGAGTTCAAGACCTCAGAATGAGATGCCAAAGTTAGACATGGTCCTGGAGCAACTGAATAACTTAAAGAGTAAACCAGAGGCACATGTGGAACTGGCTGAAATGGAACTGATCTTGGAACCGATGGTCAGGGAATTAGTAAAATCTCAGGGAACATGAATAGGCACATTGGCACTTCCCATGCCCTCTCCCCCCCTGGCTTGCTCCAGCAATAAAACCAAGCTCCAGTTGCTACTTCTCTCTGGAAGGGGATGGTCCAGACATCAAGGACCCAACATTTTGAGCTCCCAACAAGAGGAACTGGATTCTATATCACTTAACTTTTGAAGTCATTGAAGTTTGACATTAGTGAACAACCCCAACCCCCAGGACCAAGGAAACCAAAGAGGCAGTTTTATTTATTTATTGCTACATATATATTTATTATTACATTTAATCACTGTTTATCATTACAGCATACAAAATGAGCTTTCCTAGCATGAATATACTGTATATTAATCTAGGCAGGGGAGTACTACTGGTGACTTTTACCTAGCTCAATATAGAACAAAAAGGCAAAAACAGCCTGGTCCTAGTTTCTTTGTTTCTAAAATGATTATTTATTTAATTTTATTTATTATTGTCATTATTTTTTAATTTGCTACAGAGCACATGCACTCCCCAGATAGAGACAGAAAGAGAGAGAGAGAGAAAGTGAGAAAGCAAACTGCCGGGTCCAGGATTCAAACTGCGGTCAGCCATGTGGCAGTCCAGCACCCAAACCACCATGCCACTTACTAGTTCTCCCACTCCTGGTTTCTTAGTGGAAAAGGTTTGACTGCATATCTAACATCCCAATTTTTTTAACTGCTGTTAGCTTAAATCTGGGAAGCTCATGGGGCAAGCCATAACTAGTTCTCTGAAAGACTAAACTGCTGGTGAGCGGTCACTTCTCATAGCTCCTCTCCTTGGCTCTCTCCAGAAACAGAACCAAGCCTCCAGCTAACCTTCCTTTCTCTGAGAGTACATGAGAACTAGCATTTGCAAGTTCCTGGGATGAAAAATAGCAAGGCATCAGATTGAAAGAGTGAAATCTAAAAGAGAATGTAGTAGGCATTTGTCATGGATCCTCTACTCAGTTTAGTGCAGAGTAGAGGATTAATGTCAGTTCCCAGCTCATCACTGAGAAGAGAAGGAAATGGACCATGCTTCTAGGGCCTCATCTTCTCCAGCTGCTTCTTGAGGGTGTGAAGAGCCTGTTCTGGGTGCCTGTTTCTCTGTCTTTGCCTCTCCTGAAAGAAAGAAATACACTTTACAAAGTTCTTATTTTAATCTCATGGCTGTAAAATAGAAATATTTCCTGGATAGAACACAGATGTAAGTGAAAACACTTGGCTGTCTCTCAACGTCAGTGTAATTTGTGTCCTCTACTACTGCAAGGGGGGGAGGGCAACACATTTAATGGATACAAAAATGGAAAATTATCTGTTGATGATAATGTGTATGGTAATATCTTTGACTGGACTAATATATAGTATACTCATGTCCAGAAAGTCCATTTTGTATACTGTAAAGATGTACAATAATTAAATGTAAAGAAAGAAAGAAACGAAAGAAATCCAAATAAATGGAAAGATATCCATGTTCATGGCTTGAAATAATTAATATTTTTAAAAATACTCTCCACAGAAATGTAGAGATTTAAGGCAATCTCTATCAAAATCTCAATGCCATTTTTCACAGAAATAGAAAAAAAAAACGCTAAAATCCATATCTTGATCTATTTATGTTATAATGATGGAAAATATCTAAGAATTCATGTTTTTATAATAAAAATGATATGGCTGGCTCATGATTCTGGTGGCTGGAAATTCCAAGAACAATGGACTGGCGTCTGACTGGCCTCTGGTGTTATGTTACCTCATGACTATTATCCATAGGCAACAAAT